TTCTTCTTCCCGAAATCCCGTAAAACTCCTATTTCTCTACACAAGCTCTCCAAAGTCTGTATAAAGTCTGTCCCCCTCTCCATGACGTCTGTAGAGTCTTTTTATAAACCCTAGGCGGCGCTCCCGAAGTCCTACTCCCGTTCCAACTCTGAAAATACGAATCTGGGCTTTTTCTGGGTTCTGACTCGGACCGAGTCAGTACTCTGACTCGACCGAGTCAAAACGGGACTATTAAAAATTCGGCCCAGCCCATTCTTCTGACTCGGGGTGTCTGACTCGGGGTGTCTGACTCGGGCCTTCTGACTCGGTGTGTCTGACTCGGGCCGAGTCAAGGCGGGAAATTCTTGACTCTTTCATCCTTTTAGCTCCAGATTGCTCCCGTCTTGCTCCAAATCGCATCCGAGACCTGTAATCCTATGAAAACACAACCAAACCGAGTTTCTGGCCTAACACGCCTATAATGCCTACAAATGAACATGATCCTCATATAAATCCTATAAAAACATCCAGGAAATATAGAGAGAATTAGGAGTTATCAAGTAACCGTAAGGTTTTCTCAACCCGTGATAGCCGAATCACTCAAGACTACCACGTGCATCATCGGCTCTAAACTCTGCCCATAGGCGATCAATCACAATCATGTCTCCTCAATATGATATCCGACCCGGGTCAAAAATCATAAAGACGAGATCTTCAAACAATGCAACCATCGATATACCAATCCAACACCCGACTACAATCATACGCTTGACAATACTCCGGCCTTCCGAAGTAATGTCTCACGCCATGCCAGCTACCCGGTTCCCCAATCACAAGCATTCATACGAAATCGCATTTCAGTCATGCATACACGCGTCTTTACTTATTATTCTGGTATTCTGATTCATTTACGTTCATTTTATTCTTTTATCCTTCGAATCGATCAAATTGGGTTCCTACCATTACGGATTACCAATTCAGTAAGTTCCGAAGGTTTTACTTACCGTGGAATGGTGATAACTCCTATTTTTCTCTATATTTTTATGAGAGTTTGTCTAGGTTTTACAGGATAATCACATGCATTTATAGGCATTCCAGGCGTGTTAGGACACAAAACCCGGTTGTGCCTTAGTTTTGCAGAGTTACAGGTTTCAAAGATGATTGGATGCGAAAAGGAACGTTTTTGGAGCGTTAGAGATAAGTCCGGATGAGGTACTCGTGCTTCGAGATCAATAACTTTCTCTACAGAAGTCCAAATCAGACGAGACTTGCACCATTGGAAAGATCCTTTCAAGAGCTTCGCGGATACCAAAATCATGCAAATCCAATATCGGAGCTGAAAGTTATGAACAAAATCGCGAAACCTGAGAAATCTGCCAGAAAGTGAAACCGGTCTGGTTCCAAATGGAACCGGCCGGTTCAAGAGGTCCGAGCTCACATATTTTGGTCTGGTTCAAGTGTCCAGAAGGCCAAGAAACAGAAGGTGGAACCGGACCCGACGGAGAAAAACCCTAATTTGCGATTTTTAGAGTCCTAAAGGGAAAAAAACTCTTGGGAGCCACCCTATGGTTATAAAAAAGGCCTAGCCACATCCTAGAACCAGAAAGAGCCTTAGAGAACACTTAGATACAGACTTTTGGAGAGCTTTTGGGGAGAGAAGAATAGAAGTTCACGAGATTTCGAGAAGAAGAAGGAAGATTCGATCGTGGAGACTGCACATCTACATGAGCTTTTCTCTCCTCTCTTTTATCTCTTTTCTTTTGAGCTTTTTGTTGTCTGGTCCCTTCGGTCTGGAAGAATTTTGTTTCACTGTCATCAAACCTATTAAACAACTCATTTATCTTTGTATCTTAGCACCAAACAAAAATGAAATTATTCTCTGCCTAATCATTAATAATCATTAATGAAGGTGTGGAACGGACGGTCCGAGGGTTGTGGAACGGACAGTCCACACCCAGACCGGACGGTCTGGACTTCGTCCTCTTCCCCGAGACCCTGCAAGACCTAGAACGGATGGTCTACTAGCAGACCGTCGGGTCTAGTGCTCCGAAAAATCTTGAGTTCCATGTTTTTACACCAAATTCAACGAACTATAGCTCAAAACAACCTGGAGAACATCAGGAACTCAAATCTAAGCTCAAACATGCATGATTCGCACTCAAATCACACAAATCTCCATTTTCAATTTAATTATCATTTTCGAATTTAATCTGAAATACTCATCTAAGTTGAATTTGAGTTGTGGGTTTTGTTGGGAATGTTTACTAGAGTTGATTCCTGTATTTACTTGTCGATTTCGACCAGAATTGAAGCTTCAATCGAAGCTTGAAGGTTTCGGAAATTTTGAGAGAGTTTGCGAGAGTGAGAGAGTGAAGTGAGAGGGAAATGACAGAAGAATGGGCGGACTTAGGCGAATTTCGCGTCTCCCACGGAAGCAGGAGGTGTCCCGGAGCAAGCAGGAGATGTCACACGCCGGAGAACAACCGAAATTACGGTCATGACTTAGCAGGAAAAGGCGGCATGAGATCTGGGTTCCGCGTCGTCAGAACGGACGGTCTGGCAAGGCGAAACGGACTGTGACACCTGAATCCCGCATCCCGTGAAGAGGATATGCCACATGGACGAAAACCAATAAAACATAATAAAACCAAAAGTACGGAAATTTAAAATCGTTTTTAAATACAAACACGCAGCGGAATAAGATCATCACACGTTTCTCAAAAACAACACTTGTCCAAACACACAATTAAACACAACCGTTTCCACAAACCAAAACGTACAAAATAAGATTATTTATCCGTACACAAATGATGCCTTCACAAGTCGTCGCCGTCCAAAGTGCGCTACTCGTGCTCCTCGGGATCTGAAAAAATTCAACAACGGAGGGCTAAGCAAAAAGCTTAGTGAGCAGCTCGGGTTGAGCCCGGAGAGCCCATTCTCATGGAGAACGGTGTCAACTAATCTCTCAATACAAGAATTTCCTTTTTACCCATTTAACTTTTTCTCATTAATCTTTTCTAATACATTATCATTATTCCATACATTTTCGATACCTGATAGTACTGACTCAAGTCGTCCACCGGCACTATCAGGTACCATTCCTCTCGGTATCATCTAGTACTGACTCAATTCGTCTACCGGTACTAGACTTTACCCTGCTTCTCTATAATAGTACTGACTCCACTTCGTCAACCGGTACTATTATAGAGACGACCACTCAGATTCACCAGTACTGACTCCACGCCGTCAACCGATACTGGCTTCACTACACATTTCCTTAACGGTACTGACTCCACTTCGTCGACCGGTACCGTTATGGAAACGTCCACCCAACTACACCAGTATTGACTCCACATCGTCAATCGGTACTGGTATTACATTTCGGTAATAGTACTGACTCCAAGTTCGTCAACCGGTACTAATATCGAAACCACACATCCTCCAGTGCTGACTCCAAGTTCGTCAACCGGCACTGGTCCCATATCCACACATCCCCGTACTAGTACTGACTCACGCCGTCAACCGGTACTAAGTACGGGGTTCATTAGTCATTCAATCACATGCATCCTTATTACTATTTCCGAGTTTTTCCCTTGGATTAATCCTAGATACTCACCAAGGCTTTTGCTTTAATTATCCCATCTTTTATTCTTCCATATTTGTATAATCATTTAACATACTTGTGTTCTCATTTTTCATTTGATCACCTCTTAATTCCTTTAACATACTTGTGTTCTCATTTTTCATTTGAGATTTTTCCCTTTTTATTTTGGCTTGGACCGGTCGGTCTACGAGTAGACCGTCCGGTCTACACGTTCTGATCATCTCGTTTAACTTTTTATGTGCAAGACCGATCGGTCTTGAGGTAGACCGATCGGTCTTGAGGTAGACCGATCGGTCTACACCTTTTTTTTCCGGTTTTTTTTTTCTGGACCGGTCTGATTCCCTTGAAAATCTCGTCTAGACCGATCGGTCTATGTATGTAGACCGATCGGTCTACATTTATCTCAGACCATTCTTATGCCGTTGGCCCAGACCGTTCGGTCTAGACCTAGACCGATCGGTCTGGGTCCTGAACTTCGTCTTCTCCGCGAGATCTAACCCGATTTCCGCCAATTTTTACCCAATTTTGGTCCGATTTCGAATCCGATTGCTACCCAATCATTATTTATCATTCCTAAATCCTTAACTCTTGTAGAAACACTAATCTACACCATTATTCATGAGAATCAGATCTCACAAACACAACTCAAACCACTCACCTCGGATTCAAGTGCTGTGCATTTTTGTCCGAGCTCGTGTGTGTTCTTCAAGTCGTCTTTGGTCGTGAAACTTTCTAGGAACCTCCTAGGTGTAACGATCCGAGGCTGCTACGAAATGATAGAGCTATCCCCACACACCAACACGGGACCTTTTAGCATGTTTTGTCCTCACTCGCACACATCCCGGAAAATACTTCCCAGGAGGTCACATATCCTAAGATTACTCCAAGGCCAGCACGCTTAACTTTGGAGTTCTCTCGAGATGGGCAACCGAAAAGGTAGATGCATCTTGTTGGTATGAGTAGCTCAACTAATTCCTTTAAGTTATCTTAGACTATGTAGTCTCATACCTACACAGCCCTCGGATCCCTCTCATTCCGGTGTGTCTGCTTCATCTTTGTACCCCCTACCCAGAAGCTCATCAGGAACCGCCCATTGTCCATGCCTCTCGCACCGGCGATCACTCCCCGCCCTCCTATGGTATTCTGGGCTGTCACACTAGGGATGTCCTTCTTTGATTTCCCGAACTTGTTTCGCCTCAAATCTCCCTGAATCTCTCTATTTTTCTCTGTCTTCGAAGAACAGGTTCTGGGTTGCAGAATGGTGATCTTCACCTGTTGGAGCCGGTTAAATCGACCTCTAACACCGCCATAGGAGCTAGGGAGAGGGTAGGAGGGCCAGAGGGTGTCGTCCACTGCGTCTGGGTGGCGTTCGTTTACGCGTGGGGTCGGTGTGTCGCGAGAAAATCGCGGCCGAAAATGGAAGAAAGTTAGAATTTTTGGCGACTTTTTCCCCAACTCTCAGACCGTCCGGTCTAGCTGTCGAACCGTCCGGTTTGGCTCGTGAACGTGCAAATCGATCGGTCTGCACTCTAGACCGCTCGGTCTAGACCTGATTTTTCGTCTTTTCTTCGTTTTTCCCTGGACCGATCGGTCTAGACCCATTTTTCATTCGTTTTTCGACGGTTTCGACGCGTTTTAGCCCCACTTGTCCTCTGATTCGATATTTATGCCAATCATCTTATATTTTAGGGTTGTTTTACCCTATTTTATTCCAGAAATTTAATTAAATAATTTTACTCGGGAATCGGAGTATTACACGGACGGTCTTCGTTATGCAGACCAGACGGTCTGCTACCCAGATCGAACGTTCTGGTCCATTTTCGTCCGTTTTTCTCGCTCGGTTCGGTCCAATCCTTCGGTTTAACTTGGTTTAGGTTTGGTTCAATATGCTAGGGCCATTTTTAAGCTTATATGAGGTCTCCTAAAGTTCGGTACGGATAACGAATTCATGGGTTATCACACACCACACTCCCTCTGAGTGTTAGTCCCCTATGACACGAAATCTACTGATTCAACACATAATCCGTGTGAATCTCCATTCTCATGTTCCAAGGCTCGTTCAAATTAATATTGAGAACTCTCCTTCAGAATAATCTCACTCACCAGAAATAAACTCGTAAAGAATAAATAACCTTGATACTCTCGGAATGGATATCTCTTTTTCTGTACTTCCTTTGTTCCTTTTGTCGTCCTTATATAGTCTTTTCTTTCGGCTCCAACTTCTTGTTGATTTGTTTCTATCTTTTTCCTCAAGGTTGTTATCCAAACTTTATCTTCAAGATTTTATCTTTATCTTTTCCACAAAATCAGTTTCGGCATAACCAAATTTGAAAACAAAAGAAAGCATAACTGGAGAGATACCTCCCAAAAGATTTTCAGCCAAAACAAAGAATTCCCTGGAAAAAAAAAACAAGGGGATAAAAAATTTAAAAAAAAAAACAACGGAAGGGTTTATTAAATTATTAGCACGAACACGTAGCTATCCCTCGCACAACCTACAAAAGGATTCAAAACAACTGTAATGATTTACAGGGTTTTAATCGAGCTCAGTTTCCTCTGCAAACAGATTTCATCCGAGAATGCAAAGAATATTTTCTTCAACAACAAAATTTCTCCTTACGTCAACCATTTCTCTTACACACAGTTACAATCTAGAACATGATATCACCCGCCATGTCGCACCACACCATAAAACCAGCAAAACAGGAACATGAATGCAAATTGTCCATCGTAATTTCATCACCAACCAAAAAGTTTACTGAATTTGGATTCGATTGAAAAAACTAAAATCTAATCACTAATTTCATATTCCCAATTGTAACCACGACAATTATTTGCATATCTCACTAAAGAAACATACAAACCAAATTTGCAAGAAACATGTACGAAGGTTAGAAAGGAACGAGAATCATCAAGAATCAATAGGAAAACATCGAAGAGCATAAGGCTTACCTCACCAGATCAGTATTGGTGCCACTGGAGTTCGCCGGAGTCCGATTTCAGTTCTGTGAACTGTGAAGAAGAACAAGAAAATTGTTTCGCAGGTGGGGAAGATGGAAGCGAGAAAGGCAATTTGGGTCACAGGCTCATTTATTAATGGGTCTGGTATGCATCGTATTTATTGGAGAAAATTGATAACGAGGCCCGATTTTAGGACCCAATTAATATTGTACATAGTACATTCAGGATGAGAAGAAGAGAGAAGGATCCAAGGGGAATCGTTATCTTCATCATCGACACCAGAATTACAGAGGGAATTGTGGAGAAAACCTGATCCCTCAAGTTTTGCGATCAGATCAGAAAAGCAATGAATAGGGAGGATTGTGTGGGTTGGGCTGCACGAGATTCATCCGGTCTTCTTTCTCCCTACTCATTCACTCGCAGGTCATTCACCTTCACATTATCCTTTTTTTTTTATCGATAATTTTATCCCATCACTGAACTTATGCTATAGCAAATTTAACCCAATTGTCTGTCCAGATCTGTTAATAACGATGATGTTTCTGTTGCAATTACCCACTGTGGAGTATGCTATGCTGATGTCATCTGGACCAGGAACAAGCATGGAGATTCTAAGTATCCATTGGTACCGGGGTAAGTAACTTCATCTATTACACGTATTTTCGTCTACGGAAACTGATAGAATGTCTGGTTCTCTTTCAAGGCATGAAATTGCTGGAATAGTCAAACAGGTCGGCTCCAATGTCCATCGATTCAAAGTAGGAGACCATGTTGGTGTGGGGACTTATGTCAACTCATGCAGGCAATGTGAGTATTGTAATGAAGGAGAGGAAGTTTCTTGCGTAGAGGGACGGGTTTTCACTTTCAATGCCATCGATGCTGATGGCTCTGTTACGAAAGGAGGTTATTCGAGCCACATCATCGTTCACGAGAGGTGTGTATGTGTGTGTATATATATATATTACCCGTTTGCTCTCTTCTTTCAAAACAGATTGATTAGTAGGAAGTCAATTTATCATCATTCAGTTTCTCCATCTCTCTTATTTCATATTTTCAGTCATTGTAAGCACGTGATCTCATGTCTCATCGCCCTTTTCCTGTTTCCTACACGCATCTTCAATAGGTACTGCTACAAGATACCCATGGACTACCCCTTGGCCTCAGCTGCGCCTTTACTTTGTGCTGGAATCACGGTTTATGCACCCATGATACGCCACCATATGAACCAACCTGGTAAATTACTTGGGGTCATCGGGCTTGGCGGTCTTGGCCACATGGCAGTTAAGTTTGGTAAGGCTTTTGGGCTGAATGTCACAGTTTTCAGCACGAGCCCGTCCAAGAAAGAGGAAGCTCTGAATCTGCTGGGAGCTGACAAATTCATCGTCTCATCTGACCAAGACCAGATGAAGGTATGCATGTGAATGAAAAATCCAAAAAACTTACTCGGGACATAAATTAATAGTATATGGGCAGACACAGGAGAAATCGTTGGACTTCATCATTGACACAGCATCCGGTGATCACCCGTTTGATCCATACATGTCGCTTTTGAAGATTGCTGGAATTTATGTCCTGGTTGGCTTCCCAAGTGAAATCAGAATCAGTCCTGCCAGCCTCAATCTTGGTATGTTTTCTGTAGTTGGTCAGGTAAGCAAAAACTAATGTTTTGGCACGTGTTAAAGCTCGTGTTAAAGCTCATGTTTCTGAGATTTGAACAGATAGGAGAATGCTTGCGGGCAGCTCAACTGGGGGTACCAAAGTGACTCAGGAAATGATAGATTTCTGCGCTGCTCAAAAGATTTATCCAAAGATAGAGTTAATTCCCATTCAGGAAATAAACAAAGCTCTGGAAAGGTTGGTAAAAAGGGACGTCAAGTACCGTTTCGTGATTGATATCGAGAGTTCTCTGAAATAGAAAAAAGAGATGTTTCCACAAGTACCTAATGTCCTCTGCTTCTGAACTCTTAACTCTGGAACTCTTCATGAAAAGGATCGATAGGAGTTTACATGTTTTGATTGGCATGTCTGCAAACTCTTAAGGCTAAGGAGTATGTTAGCATTACAGAAGGTGGTCAAGGCGAGAAGTTTGAAGAAGCTGAATATAAGATCGAAGGAAGTTTCTGAAGCAGTTATTTACAGTTTTCTTTCCTGTTTGTATTGAAGTTGTAACTACCTCCTCTCGATACTTTTCATTTCCGAAACAGAGTTCATAAGTCTCTTTTGCCAGAAACAGAACCAGTCCGAGAAAGAAACCAGGAACCAAAATATACATAAGCCTAATACGTATCAGAAATTCACAACATTTCACCAAAGACAACCCAAGAAGGACAGAACACGAAAAAAGAGGATTCGCAGATACATAGTATAATAGTTATGGGAGATTGACTTTGCCCTTGAGGCCATACATACGACCAGATGAATAGCATTTTTTTACGATAAAACCATGTCCTAGTGTGTGTGTAATCTGGGATAAATCTCGAAACTTTAAAATTAGACTTAAGGAATACATGTAGCACGCGCGCGTAAAGGTCTTCCTGAAGAGAAAGTGCTTGATATGCATTAGTTATCCGCTTATTTAGACAGACACGACAAGACAAAAGGGAAAACAGAGAGATAAAAACATGGGACGATGCATTTGTGGGCAGAGACATCAATCGGTGTGTTCAGAATCACGGCGGTTGTTTCTGGAGGCAACTTTTCCCTTCTTGGCCCTTGATTCCTTGGGCAAGAAAGGCTTCTCTGTATCGCCAGAGATGTCAAGATGAACGCCGGGATCGTGGGTCTCGTACTTGCCTCCCATCATAATTGAGTTGTTCACTGCTTGAAAGTTGCTGTTCACGAACGTGCTCAGGAAATCAAGATTGCCATCGCTGTCGCTGTCCCCTAATGCATCCCCATCGAGCTCCGTCTTCATGGTGGCTCCGATGTTGGAGCCAGAGAGTGTGATCACTCTCACGCCATGTTCGTCCTCATCCTCCAAGTGGCTGGAGCCGGGCTTGTCTGCCCCCATCTGAGTTAAAGCAGATATCATGTTTCTGAGTTCACGGTCAAATGGTTGTCGCTGCCTCTCTCCTTGGCCGCCTGAGTCGCTCAGCTTCATTCTTTTGTTATTTTTAGGAAAGACAAGCTGACTCTTTCCAATAGGAAAAAAAAAATCGGATTGAGAATGAGGAGAGGTGGAATGGGATTACATAAGTACATATAAATATAGCATACATGTAGAAGAAAGATATAAGCTAATGGTGCGTTGGAATAAAGGATGAGGGAATTAATTGCCTTCTGGTGCAATTAAAGCATCGGGGCTTGGTTGGATACTTGTCTAAGCCAAGGCAGAATTGCTTTCCAAAGGGTTCAAGAATCATTTTTTGTAATTCTCATAGCGTTCGAGTTCCCTAGACAAATAACTGGATTTGGAGGATCGATCCCAGCTATAGACAAGAACAACGAGAAAGAGTAACGGCTATAGCCATATAACTGGCGTGTTTATGATGTTTGTTGTTTAATGTGGAAGATTCTTATGTGTCAGGGATGTTTGAGTCCACTTTGGCTCAAATCTGATAGGTGAGCTAATGCTAGATGTGCTGATATCAAACACATTTAGTGTATCAGCGCTCCCAATTAACATAATTATTGGTAGGCTGTGTGTTTAGGATTTTGTCAGTGAGCATGTTTGGTTATACAGAGACCATATTTGGTCGTGCAGGAGTTATAAGTTATGAATCAGTGATCTATTTATGTACAATTAGATCCTTGGTGAAACGTAAAAACAATTTTTGCGGACGACTTAAACCTGACCAGTTTTTCAAAGCACGAGGCACTTAAACGTCCTGCAGTGTAAGGATAAAGATATTTCTTATCACTTTTGCATGATTAGTTTGTGAATTCCTTTTCCAATTGTGTGGGTTGAATAGAATGTTTGGTCAAAGGTTTCACAGAGCTAAGCCCATAGAAACAATAGGACAACACTGCGTGGCGCGGTAGTTGCGTGTCAAAGCAAGAAAAATTAAAGAGAAAGAAGCAAAGTGGTGACGGGAGGACGACATCCTTTTGGCATGACTGTTGGCTGGTCCCTAGGCCGATCATTGACATTGCAGGCCGGGACCGAGCCTACTTCAGATTCCACAAGGCAGCAAAGTTCGAGGTGCCGTTTCCGGGGGAAATTGGACAGTATGCGGGGCAGGATCGCAGCGGCTGCAAGAAATTCTAACGGCCCTAACAACTGTCCAAATTCCTGATGACGTGAAGGGACCAGACAAGCCGCTGTGGAAGCACAAAGATGGAGTGCATAAGGATTGGTTCTCCAATTCAAACATCTGGACACTACTTCGACAGCGGCATGCACATGGCATAAGATAGTATAATTTAAACATCATGTGCCACGTTTTTCTTTCTTGCTATGGGAAATTATGTTGTTGAGGTTGCCGACAAAGGATAGGCTAATACGATAGAGAATTTATGTAGGTCCACTCTCTGTGCTTTGCCAAAAGAATCCACAAACGCACCAACACATGTTTTTCGAGTGTGATTTCAGCTCAAGGCTATGGTTGACGATTGGGAACTTGATATAGCCTTCTCCTTCATTCAGTGTGTTCCAATGTAAGGAATGGATGACCGACAGTAGCAATGACATGAGTCATAGCAGGGCATTTCTAGGCTGTTTGATTTTACAGATTAGGGCGCACAAAATTTGGAAAGAGCGGAACAATATAGGACGGAGAGGAGCACGACGGACGTGATCCTACTGCGGATTGACCAAGTTTTGCGTAACATTCTAATCTCCATCACCATGGCCCAGAACAGTGGCGGCAAATCCACTCTACAAGACTGGTTTCTTTTGTGGGAAAGTATCCGAACGCATCATTGCTATGGCTAGTAACTCGCACACCACTTTCACATTTTGCTTGACATGGATATCCAATACAACTGTATGTTTTTGTAAAAATATTTTTATTCAATAGATAGATTCACCTTTCACCAAAAAAAATGGTGAAGAAGACGAACGGTGTTTTTTCGGCGACGTAGAAAGTGCAGGGTCTCCGAGATGCTCAAACCCTAAGAAAGTCCGAAGAGAAATGGAACAGGACAAACAGAGCGAGATGGGAGCGATGTCAATGGAGTCGCTTCCTCTGGGGTTCAGATTCAGACCCACCGACGTCATCCCTGAGGTTGACGTCAGCCTCAAGAACAAAATTTAAAAAAAAAAAATGGAAGTGGTCGATTCATCTCCTGTCCGCGATCTAATCTCAAGTCAAATAAAGGGCCTAGGTAATGTTAGTCCAACGTAAATGGGCTTGAAATAACGGGCCTTCCCTTCAGAGTTGTTCGGCTCTTCTTCTCCTCCTTCTGCCGGAAAGAGAGAAAAAAACAAAAACAGAAATGGAGGGCGTGGCGGAGGGCCTATGGGGGCTGGCGGATTACCACCAGAAGAAGGGTGATATTGGGAAATCCATAAAGTGCTTGGAAGCAATCTGCCAGAGCCAAGTTTCGTTCCTTCCTCTTGTGGAAGTGAAATCTCGGCTGCGAGTGTCTTCGCTTCTCCTCCGCTACAGTGACAACGTGAACCACGCCAAGTCCCATCTCGAGCGATGCCTTCTCCTCCTCAAGTCTATTCCTTCTTCCTTCGATCTCAAATTCAAGACTTACAGTTTGCTCAGCCATTGCTACCATCTCCTCGCCTCCTTCGCTCCTCAGCGCAATCTTCAAGAAATCTCCGGAAAGTGGGACCCGCTCTGTTGACAATTTTGACTGTTTCTTCTTTGACCTTTCGCCCCAACCAGCCTCCATTTTCTCCTCTTGATAATCATCCTGCTTCAGGCCAAAAATGGTACAAAAGTTTCACATGTTTCTCGGTTAGGCAAAGAAGGCTTCCCACAGCTTTCGGAGTACTATCCCTTCGATTATCATGGATAACTGCAGGGGCTTATTCTTCATATTCTCCGGTGTCTTGATGCTCTTTTCTCACCGGATCCATGTTTCTTTTGCAGCCGATACGATCTCTGCCTCTATAAAGAGATAGAAACCGATATTATAGAAAAAGTGAAATATTGACTCGTTATCTATAAAGAGAGATAGGAACCAATATTATAAAGTAAAGGAATATTGACCCGCTATCTATAAAGAGATAGGAACCAATATTATAAAAGTTTAAGAACTACAAGCAAAGATTTGCA